AAAGAAATTTTTAAAATACCAATTCACCCCCCCTTCTCTTGGTTAGCTTGGGACTAAGTTCATAAGGGCTTAACATCCCTGACGAACTTTAATTGTTCCCATCTGTTTGACTCACTCTTTTTGTATTGTTTGGGGCTATAAACGAATCAAGCTGAATCAAGCATATCATTATTACTATGTGAAAAATTGAAGTGTGAAAATTTATTGATTATAGTTATTTTACTATAACATTATTTATTTAATATGCATAAATTCACCTATAAGAGGCCTCTAGGTAGAAGAGTTGTAAGAGAAGCATGACCCCAAACAAGAATGCCAAGCTAAGCTTAAATATGTCGCCTTTTTGTCTTAACTAAGTCACCAATAAAAAAAAAAGATTTTGTGAACCTTTAAGAAAAAAAGTAATTTCTTAATTCTGAAATGTTTTTACTTAGAAACATAAAAATTATTTTAAATTAATTTAACTAATTATCATACTCACTTTCCCCTTCTTTATCTTTCCCTTTAGGAGAACCCTTTAAATTATCCATAAGGTTTATTAAGTGTCTTAGAAATAAAAACATGGAATTTCTCATATTTGAGATGAAGACATAGCCTATAGTATGACTACCCATTTTTTGGATGATCTACAATTAGTAGAGTCGGAGTTCCTTACAATCAGATTGTCTAGCTAGGTGCCCCAATGAAGACTAGAATTTGGCGAATGTCAAGGCCATTAAAGATGTTTTCATCAATGATCACCATGATTAGGAGAAAATATTGAGAAAAAACAAAGAAATAATACTTACATAGCATACCAATAATCACTCACACAAAATTCAAAAGAAAATTCAAATTAGTCAAAGTTACTAAAGAGTATGTTAAAAACCCCCCATATTCCAACATGAAAATTAAGTAAACTCATTCCTGCCTTATTTTTTTTCAATTTTTATTTTAAAAAAATAAAGGAAAAAAAGAAGAGAAGAATAAATAAGAAGAATTTTAGTGAAGCTTGATGTAGAAATTCAAGAATTAACTCAAATAATAAGTAGGTTGAGTTCAAGTAGAATAGTTGATATTTTAACACCTTAGAAAAACAATGGAGAAAATTACTTCATAAGTGAATTATCATCTAATTCTTTTAATAAATTGAAAATTCAATAATAACTTACTTAATGATGCTCAAATTTTTTTCAACTCCCCCCTTTCACAAGTCGTAAAAAATTGTACATGCTTTGTAAATAATTATATTGTCCTTTGTACAAGTCTCTCTGCAAATGAATAAGAGAATCAAAGAATTAAATATGCATCCCATTTTAAATTTATTTAAAGAGTTGACAACAAAATATCATCAACAAAATAGATGAATAAATTAGCTAGAGGGCTTAAAAATAGAAGTAATTGTATTACTTCTATTTTATGTAGGTTGCTTCTACAAGAAATCATATGAGTTGAATAGAGCATGTTCAACCACTTGCTTAACCTAAAGGGCAATTCATCATTTTTTTTACAACGGAAGCTACCAATGTTACTTTCAATTAACTATTGTTATTGGACAACCTTAACTAATTTGTGTGATGGTTGCATCCTTTATATGAATAACAAAATAGGCATAAATACTACAAAGATAATGGTTGCATCATAATGTTAGTTTACTAAAAAAACATAGAACAATGTGTGGTCCAAATTTAAATAGTAGCAAATAACTGCATCTAATTATAGATTTATAATGAATTAGCTAGCCTTGGTCTAGAGATTTAACTAGACCACCCATGGTCTAGTTAATACACACACGCATACACACACAAACGCACACACGCACACACACACGCGCACACACACACACACACACACACACATTTTATGTCCCGCTCTGTAATGTATCTTGTATCCCTTTTAATATATAATAAATAGAGATTGGTTATATTTGTATAATTATTTTATAAAAGATACATGCATCCCATAGGACATTGCAGCTTCATAGCATACCACAAAAGAGTTCCTTGAATAATCATAGGCACAAAAGTATTTTATTAAATGACAACCTCAAAATGATAAATTTTTTTTCTTTTAATTTCAAAAAAAAGAAGATTTTTATGTAAGAGGAATAAGTATATCTAGTTCAATGATTTAAACTTTGTTGAGTTAAACTGGAGGGACAAAATTCACGAGTTATTTGTCACAAACTACTTAATCAATCATGGGGTCGAGTTTCTTGTATTAGTGAGTAATGAATACATAAATTTGAAGTATTAATGATCAAAGTACAATTTAATTAATTAAATCTAAGATGTTTCATTAAGCTCTAAGAATTTTATTACCAACACATTGAAGTCAGGTTGCTTGCCCTAAACCCTAAATCATATGCGTATATATAAAATGTATATCGATAAGAGTGCAATATTTATCTGTTTAAAAAAAAAAATATTACTGCATTAGAGGATCAACATTTTCTATAAATTTTTCTACTGAACAAATGCATTGATGAATATTAATTATTGTGTATTTCGTAAAAGTGATATAATGATTTATGAAAATTAGATTAGTAAACAAGGCTCTATAGAAAAAAAGTCAAAAATAAATGAGGTAATTATAATGAATAATGCATTAACCATCTAAAATGATAAATGGGAGAAACACGTGTCTAGGTATCATACTAGTTTTTCTTTATTTCAATATGAAACTCGTTAAATGATAACAACAATCTTGCTTCTTTGAGAATCTACTCACAAATTCTTTGATCAAGAGTCTCATATAAATAATATCTTATATGCCTTGGAAGGGTGAGCAATTTCCAAAAACATATAATAGCATAAGGTTCATTATTATTGTACAATGAGCATGTTAGGAATTATTTTTAATTTAAAGATTTAGTATAGAATTAAAGCTATCCAAAGAAAATTATAACAATTTAAGTCTTATTTTTAAAAAACAAGGCATAAATAAAAGTATTCTAAAATTGATTTAAGGAAATTTGGAAATGATTTGAAAGCAATATATTTTAACATAATTTCTTCATTTCAAAAATTTAAATTAAACGATGTATATTCACTGAACAATATAGATTATTGGACTGTTTGAAAATCATACAAGTAATTTTGGAAAATCAATTAAAGCTAATTTTTGGAATAAGAATAAAAATAATTAATTAAGCAAACTAAAAGGAAAATATTAACTAAGGAAATGGGTATCCAACTCTAGAAACCGAGTGTTTGAAAATGAGGTTGAAATTTGTTCATATCTACGCTATAGAGAAAAACTAGAAAATTTTTTGTCATATGATGTCAAGAAATTTGAAAATAAACATAACGCAATGGTCAATGTGTTGTGGAAGCGCAAAACTAAAGTGAAGCTATAAGGGAGAAAATATCCAAGATGAGATAGTTGTACGTACACGAGTATATTTACTTGACCAGAGTGTTGAAATAAAAAGGATGATATTTTTTTAGGAGCGAGAATTGTAATGCCCACTACAATAGTTTTACACTTATTCTAACCAAGCCTGATAAATCAAGTGATGGAACTTATGTATTTTCATTATATATGAGTCTGAGAAAATTTTGTATGCCTATGAATGCCTATATTCTATTTTAAAGCATGTCCTAAGGATCTGTATGCATGAAACATTAAGTCTAAATATTTCCTTCGGGGAACGTTGAAACTAGGTTTGGGGGCACATCAATGCTAAGCTCTCAGGCTTGTCCTTTTTAAAATGAATAGTACAAGTTTAGTGACACAATTGCTTAGAGTGTTGTTATTATTGCAATCCCAAATTACGTGCTTGTGATTTTGATGATAACAAATATTATTGATTGCACTTTTATTTCTCCTATCATTTTGTATTGCATATACTTTTGTGTGTACTAATATTTCAGGTATGACATATACCATACTAGAAGAATCAGGGCTCAAGTTTGGGTTGAATAAGAACATGGTTGACAAGAGTATGTAATTTTAATTTATTTATTTTTAAACTACTTGAGTAAAAAATCTTGTAAAAGATGTATGCTTTTTTGGCGACTCTTCCGAATTGTAAACAATAGTTCCATTTATCAAGCCTACAAGGGTAGATCTCAAAACATGGCTCATTACATGCCCCTTCAAATACTAGATTCTACATGGGAAAACCTATATTTTAATTTTGTCTTGGGCTAACCCAAAACCAAGTGTGGCAATGACTCAATCATGGTAGTAGTCAATAGGTTCTCCAAGATGGTACACTTCATTTTTTATAAGAAAATATCTAATGCCCCTCCCTTCACATTGCACTTATTTTCTTTCAAAAATCATTCATTTTCATGATTTACCTTGAAATCTAACATTCGATCAAGTTGTTAAGTTCCTCAGTCACTTTTGGTGAGAACTATGGAAATAATTGGGCATTAACTTATGTTTGAGTTCAGCTTATCACCCTCAAATGTATGGTCAAACTAAAGTTGTAAATAGCACCTCAAGTAATATGCTTCATTACTTGGTAAAAGAAAACCAATGCAATGGGAAGACATGCTAAGCAAAGCTGAATTTGCTTATAATGCCATGATGAATCATTCCACTAATAAGTCTCCTTTCAATCATCCGGTTAGGAAAAAAAATATTTTAGATTTAACTTATGTTAAAAAGGTAAAAGTATACCAAAGAAGGCTTGGTTAGAATATTAGAAATGACCTATCTTTATTAGATTTAATGAGAATTTAACTTTTAACAATGCATAATGAAGAAAAAAGATTCATGTAGCCAACCAAAAATAGTGGGAAAGGCTCAATGTTGTTGTTGTATATATTATGATTTTTTAGAATTTGTAATTGATCATGTTGCACAAGTAATTGAGTGATTTCCAATGTCATCTATAGGGAAGACCACAAATATATTTTTACTAGAGTGTTCGTTTAGGAAGCGCGACAGGCATAAGCTTTTGAATAAGAATGGTTGTGTTATTTTTATTGTAGGTCTTGCTGGCTCAGTTTGCAATATGAAGTTATCTTTCTTTATATATTTTTGCCAAAAAATTGAATTTATGGGTTCTCTTTTTACCTGAGTTTTTTTGCTGCTTTGTTGGTACTTATTGTTAATTTTTAATGTGTCTCATGAAATAGCAATCTGCATGTCGCAAAAAAATATATTGATAGGCTCCAATAAAAATTAAAAAAATTCTATTAGAGCCTGTTTGGTATTCTTTTTAGGCAGGATTAAAATAAAGAAAATAGAATTTTGGAGACTTTAAATTTTGTTGTTCAGATAAATCTTTGTTGTTTGACTTTTAACCGGACAAAATGGCGAAAAAGGATTCATGTAACCGACCCCACGCAGTGGGACAAAGGCTTGTTGTTGTTGTTGTTGTAGAAAAATGTTGTTTTAGCCCATTATTAATTAAATTTAATATTTGTTATATCCCACCATTCACATTGTTTTAGAAAATTTAAAGATATGTCCTCTTAGAAATCTTAAAGCCTAAAACAGAACCAAACAATTTATTAGAATTTAGCCATATTTAAGAGTTGTCATGGTAAATGATTTTCATACTAAAAATTTTCTAAATCTCAATTTTTAGGATTTATTGAATCCTACTTATAAAAAAAATAACTACTGCATTAATGTGGAATAATTAGTTGATAACAACTAAGATTTGAATCAATTTAGCTCCCAGTCCGAAGATTAAAATTTGATCATGATATTAAATTAATATTTAAAGAGATGGTACAATTTTATCTTATAATGATATTTCATACAAATTTCTTTACTTTCTTTTTACTCATTCTATGAGCTTTTATACTTTAATAATCTTTGTGTTTAGGGGAGTAATTATGGTTAAATTGTTAAATCGATCGGATCGTCTTGGATGATTTGTATATCCTACTAGATGATGTTTGTCGACATATTTAATTTTCCTAAATCATCCAAGATGAAATACCATAATTTTTCATCTAATCGTCAAGGACGATCCCCAATATCATCCTGAATAATATGTATAAATTTGAGCTGACCATCGAGGACTATCTTGAGATCGTCCAAGACTATCAGGTCAAATTTTGTACATCGTTCTAGACTATCTTGTGTTGTCCAGGATGATATTTGGTGCTAAAATTGAGTTTTTAGGGTTTTTTGAATCCCTCATTTTAAGCACTTCGTGCAGGACGATCTTGAGATCATCCTGGATGAACTTTGTCGCCATATATGATTTTTAGGATTTTTTAAAGACCTCTATTTAAACTTTGTCAAGTCACTTGGTAAGTGTCTTTGGCAACCATTGAAGATTCGTTTTTTTGGAGAAAACTTGAAGAGAGAACTTAAAGTGATCAGAGGGAAAGGTAGAGTTTGAGAGGGAAAAGATCTTTGTAGGGGGTTTCAAAGGAGTGTAGAGGGGATTTCACACAGTTTCTCTAGTGAGCTTGCACCTTAATACCATCAGATTCAAGTTTCGCTTTAGGGAAGCTTTGGGAAGAAGAAGATCTCTTTGGTATCAAAGGACCTGGTTATTCCGCTGCACTGAGGAAGGTGGAAATGATTTTGTAAAGGCTTCTTTTCCAAACTGTGGGGGCTAAAAGAGAGTCACTAAAGGTTTAGTGTAATACATAGAGGGTGTCTCTGAGGACTGGACGTAGGTCAAATTGGACCAAACCACTATAAATCTGGTATGTTCTTTATTTTTACTACGATTAACTACTTAGGTAAAATCTCTGATTAATTTTTTTATTATTGATTTAATTCATTTCTGCTAAAAGACATAAAAAGATTTTTCTTTTTGTTAAAGAAGTTATTAAATATCCAATTCACCCCCCTCTTGGTTAGCCTTGGGATTAGTTCATAAGTCTTTAACAGCTCTAACAAACTTTCATATACTATATAATTTGATCAACTTTTTTCAACATATCATCCTGATAAATAAACTCCTTGATTGTAATGTACAATCATAGATTATATTGTACAAATAGTCAAAAAGTCTATAAATAAGATGGTTAATCTACTCAATACACTCAACTCTTTTTCAAATTTACTTTCTAATCTTCCCTACTCAATCGCTGGTACCTTCAGATCAACCTAGAAAACTTGACTATGACTTTATATGTTTTCTGTTAAAATATCGAAGTCACTAAAGTAGCCTTAGCTGAACATAATGGTCTTTCTACTGAAGGACATCGCTCCCACTCCTTCATAACTAATGATTTTTACTAGAGTCCCATTAATTTACTACTTAGAAAAGTTTCTTTAAACCAACACCATCCCCTTATCTAATCCTTAACAGAATGCCAGCATCATCCAACACATTCTTAGGATATCATTCATACCCAAAGTTGGAGATAGGATACGCAAGATCCCACTTTTGTCTGTCATCACTTACCTAATTATGTCCATTATTAAATTTTTTGAAGACGACATGATTATAGATTATAACAGGAACATGACTCAAATTTGTCATCATAGTACCTGCATAAGAGTTTGCTTTGCATTAATAAAGATGGTTTGTCTATCTCTCACTTATTCTTTGCTGATGATTTCATTATTTTTTAAAATAGTTCTTTTAATAATGTCATGAAGATTTATATGTTTGTTTTGAAGTTTAGCCAAGAAAGAGCTTAAGCCTTAACCTTAATAAGTGCGCCTTCATTCTTGGTAAAGATATGTCTCAAAGAAATAGCAATCGTATTTGTCTTTTTATGGATTTTTCTATGCAAAAGCTCCCTATTTTCTATTTAGGGACTCTGATTTATAAAGCCATAAGAAAAGCTTTATTTTTAAAAAGGTTTTTATATACATTGCTATCATCTAGCTTCTTGGGAATTTAAACAGCTCCTCTCGGTTGGTCAGTTGATTCTTATTAAGAGTGTTCTTTCCTCGCTTCCATTGTATTTATTTCAAATTCTCAATCCCTCTATGGAGGTTTGTGATAAAATGAAAAAAATCTTTAATAAGTTTTCTTAGGGGTTCTACTTCTGAGTCCAAAAAGATTCACCGTAGATCTTGGGTCTCTTGTACCGGTACCATTGTTGAAGGAGGGCTTGGATGTAAATCTATCAAAGATATTGGTAACTATATTACTCTTAAAAATTGGTGAAAGTTTAGATTGAAAAAATGCTTATGGACTAATTATATGAATAAAAAGTATTGCAGTCGAATCATCCCTCCTATTGTTTCTTCAAAAACGATCAACCTCCTATTTGGTATATAATTGTAGGATCAAGTGGCTAGGTGAATCCTTTTTGCAATATGGGCTTAGTAAGGGTAGTTGTTTCTTTTGGGAAAGCAATTGGTCAAATTTTGGTTATTTAGATGCGATTTTGTACACTCATTCTATTTTCAATTTGAAAGTTTCTAAATTTTTTAGCAATGACAACTGGAATTATAATTGTTCGATTGATGTTCTTCTAGCCCGAGTGGCTGATAGGATTTTGAACATATTTTTGGAGATAAATAGCCCTAACATTATGATTTTTAAAAATTCTAAGGATTGTGAATTTTGCTCTAAGGATGTTTGGAATACCATAAGAGTTAAATTTGATAATTTCATGGTATTTGATAAATTTGGAGTATTAATACTCTCATTGTTTATTCAGTTTTCACTTGGCGACTTCAAAAAGTATTTCTTCTAGTTGATATGAGACTCCTATCTAAAAGTTTCAACATTGCTTCTAAATGTTAATGCTGCTTTCATGTTGAAACCATAAATCATGTTTTTTTTTATTATTATTTTTTTATTGGGCTTACTGCTTACAAAGTCTTTTTTAGAGAGTTGCTGCTCCAAACGTCATGCCAGACATATTGTTATCCTTATTTCTATGATAATTTTCTAGCTTTTACAAGTGGAGAGAAACAATAGTAAACATATGGGTGTCAAAATGAGCTCTGATAGAATCATTAATTGCCTTAAGTTGAAAAAACATCAGATGATTAAAGCTAAACATTTGGCGCCAAAGCATTTTAAAGGTGATATATCTTGGACTAATTTTTTTCAGATTTCTTTTCAGAAGGATAACATTAGAAGTCTCTTTAGTGTGGTTTATTGGATTAAACCAGTTTTAAATCTCTTCAAATGGAATGTTGACGGCTCTCTCTCTCTCTAAAGTTGGAGGAGGATGTGGTGGTATTCTTAGAGATTTTAAGGGTAATATGGTTATTTCTTTTGTTGATAAAGTTTATAATGCAAATGTTAATTGTACTGAAGCATCTGCCCTTCTTATTGGCCTTATTCTTTGCATTCAATTAGGTATTCAGAAAAATTGGATTGAGTTTGACTCTTTAATTTTGGTTAATCTCATTAAAAGCAAGGTCTGTAATAATGCTTCATTGTTTTATATTTTTAGAAGTAATATGAATTAATTGAATCTTATTGAATTTTCTATCACACATATTTCTCGAAATGGCAACTCTTGTGCTGATTTATTAGATAGATGGGTGTTTTTTTTTTAGTTAAAACCCACAGAGGGGCCTACGCATTGATATAAGGGAAAATTACAAGTCCTTAAGGGGACCATCAGCCCGCTACTGCTCAAAGAGCTACAATCAATAAGAAAGATAAAAAAACCTAAGGGCCGATAGTCCCCATCTATATGAAAAACAAAATTTCCTAGATACATTCTAAGCCGGCACGGAAGGAGTGCCCAAAAAATAAGGAGTACGAAGGATATCCAATCAGCCCAAGCTCCCTTGTCAAAAACTTCCTCAAGGTGGAAGCAAACCTGCAAAAGAGACAGAACAGAACGATACAAAAAAAGAAAGAACATGAAAACAAAAATACCATTGAACAAAATGGCCACACCAGCGTCCCGATCCAGAGAAGGCAACCCAATTATACACACCTCCGACAGAACCAGAAGCCTGCAAACCACCAAGAAAGCAGGCAAACCAAAATCAGGATAGTCAAACATTAAACCATAACCCAGCAACCCCAATCCAGACGATCCGGGCCTCAAACCAAACCAACCCCCATCCAGAATAGCAAAAAACCTCAACCATCAACTAGGAGAATACCCTCCAGCCC